AATTGACATTTACCATGGATGGATGACAGAGAGTGGTCGTTATGGTCGTTATTAGGGAGTTTAAGGAAAACATCGAAGTCGCCTTTGCTGGTTGATGCTTTGAGGTACGTCACTGCGAGTTACGATTCGTTGGTAAAAATAGTAAGTGGAGGCGAAGGTCTATGAATTCGAGGTTCTTTATTCTCCGCTTATAATACGCCAAAAAGAATATAGCGATGTTCTTTAAATAGACATAAATACAACATAAAATAATATCGAAGATAGTATAACATCAATTTAGGAATAAATAAATTTTTTATTCATCGATTCTTTTAATAAAGAATATTTATAAGCTTCATTTTTGTATAGTTTGATAAATATTTTGATAAGAGTATTTCGCTCCTTAGTTATTTATTTTATTTGTTCATTACTCTTAATTTTAATTTCAAATGCGACTTAAATTCTCTTTTACTATATTTTTCATTGAATTCGACTTTTGATTTGAAATCTAATTTTACGTAAAAATTCCTTATATTTCCCATTTCAAGACACTATCAACCCCAACCCTTATTATACTTTGCCATACTATTGCAATTTTCCCTATGTGATTACCAATCTCTATTTGTCAGCAAAGAGTGAGAGTGCCTGACCTAGTATACAGTTGATCACTGTGACTCACCCGCGAATCGAATCCTAGTAATCAAATCTTGCAATATTTAAATCAACACTTTCGATATCATTTCACGACGTAAATAATATCGAATTAATTATTCCAACTTCATTGAAACGATCACGACACAGGTACGAAATTAAAATTGGAAAATTAATTCCAATAAAATATGTTTTACAATTATGTCGGTGGAAAGACTGCATCACTTGTTTGTTGACGAATTGACAATTGAGAAATCGACGATGGATCAACGTTACTACGAAAAGTTACCAATAATAAGTAATTACTAATTACCAATAATAAAATGTTATTATTGGTTGTTCCACAAGGTTAATTACGAAATTAATTATTGCCGTTTAGCGCATCGCGTTAAGCTCCAATGAGGAGACCGCCAACCTTGCGGAGAAGGTCTCATCGATATTTTATCGATAGCGTAACACCTATACGCTGAACGCTCTAAAAATAATCACCCTGAATACTACGGACATTGTAAAATCTGCGTCTTATCCTGGACGTGCATGGAAAGTGTTCAGTCTGGAATCCGTCTAGGATTTCCGCGGAAAAAAATTTCCATCTCCATCAAATCGGAGCAGACATTATTTTCTTCTTCGTTATTAACGATCATTCCGTGGATACGTCTAATTAAAATTAATTACAATCGGAGAAATCAGCGAAAATTGCATAAGAGGTACTCGATTAGCAAAGGGCTCGAAGCATATGGTTCTTTAAAAGGAATTTTTAGATTTGTTATTACCACGATGTGGATTACTTTTATATCGCATGGTTCATTAAATTAATAGAGGGTGTAGGTAGCGATCACTGAAATTAGAGAACTGGAAATAATCAAGGGTTTTAATTGTAAATGGGTACTGTGGGATGTCGAATGAACTTTAATATTCGGTGAAATTAAATAATAATCCTGGATTTCTAAATATATCACTTTTTCAAGTAGTTTCGAAGAATGTCTGTGAACTTCCATGGCATCTCTGTTCTCAGATACAACTAATCTAACAATTTGAAATGTGGTATTTGCGAAAGTATATGTATCGTAGGTTCAAAGTATCAAAGCTTCGATTACTCTAGAAGTAATTACATTTTAAATAAATTGTTAAATTGAAGCTCGTTCGTTGGCAATCCTGAACCTAAAATAGATAAGAAATTCATTTTTCAATTCAATTTCGCGTAAAATTCATTTAACAAGAGATTCTTTCATTGTCAATATACTTTTGGACACGTTAAATTTTGATTTTTATTTCAAATCTATTTTCATAAGATATGAGAAACGCAAGATAGCGTAAAAATAATTGGTTTTTAATAGGTAAGAATAAAATTTCGTATCAGGAATGGAGAAAAGATCGTATTAGCATTTGAACAAAAATTATGACAAAGATAAATTATACTTTGACAGACATCGGTAACGTTAACGAATATTGATGGCTCCTACATGGCGCAAAGTAGAAAAGGGGATGCAATGCTAGGTACTTGAAAATATTATGAAATGGTTCGCCACTCGTTGCAAAAATGTCAGTGGTCGAGAAGAAAGGTTAAAGGTGCGCTAACGAGGAAAAGTACCCATGTAGTGCATAAATCGCGATACGATGGGCTAAGAATATTAAAGACCGTTAAACTACCTCCATTTCTTGATACTTTCATGTTATTAAATATTATTCTATTAGATATTAATTATTTCCCTTTATTTCCTTTTATTTAATGTATGCACGGATCGATCCTTTACGTCATGTCATAATAATTTAATGCACTTCCTATACTTTCAGCCATTTTAATTCGTATTTTATTGACTATTATCATTTATTAAAATCGATAGCTGCTTCGATTTATGAATTAAAAATGACACGTGTTACACCTTTGGGAACTGTATAATAATATTGGAGAAAATGGTATTTTATATATACATATTTCCAAGCTCAACGATTTATCTCAAAACAGAAAATTCTTCTAATATTTTTTTATTATTCAAATATTATTCTAAAATTATTCTATTTCTCGAGGGCCCAGGCGCAACAAATAAATTGCATACTCTATTAAAAAATAGAATCACTTAAAAGATTTATATTAGATTCAATACTTGACAGATGTATACAAATCGTATAAATACAGTCAGTGGTTTAATTTAACAAATTAAATTCAATTCATTTAGT